AAACATTATAGAAAGAAAACAAAAAATGAAAATAAACACACACACACACACACACACACACACACACACAGACCACTCACTCTACTACTGGCATTTTGGTAGTCAGTCCAGTCAGCTAAATTAGAAAGCATGGAACTGATGAAAGAAAAAAAAATGAGATTAAATTCTAGTCTCATTATCAAGATCAGATGTCAAGCTACTCCACCATAATTACCTGCTTAAATTTTTTACGATGCTTCTGCATGAATTTCAAAACCAAAGACACTATTATCAGCCATTGAGAAATATTTAAAATGAAAGTACACCTCACATTCTGCCTCTATTTCCACAAAACAGCTACATGTGAGAGATTAAACTATCCAGTCCTTTAATCAACAGTATTATTAGAGATCACAAAGGCACTAAGGGCCTCTCATGGTCTGATTGTGAGTCTAAGCTGCCCGGGTTATATTCTGTCTGGAGGCCAACTATCCTAGTGATGTCCAGCCAACAGAAAGAAAAAAGAAAACAAGTTTTCTGGAAGAGTCATGGATCACCCTAAGGCCTACTTATCATAACTGCTAAAACAATATTATTAAGATCAAAGATTTGTTGATTAGTAAGTGAAAACCCTAAGAGAGTGTTTTTTCTATGCTATGTGTTTCTTAATTGTCAGGTAGTTTATAAAGTTGATTTTGAAATAAAGAGGGAATGCTTAACTAATGTGCATTTAAATAATGAGCACAGACAACCAAAGAAAAGAACTGTTTATTAATAAAAGGCTGGAGAAGACTGTTACATGCTTAAAATACTTGTCTAACTTAAAAAATAAAAAGACCTTATTCACTTGTATTTTTTGCAAGTAATAACCTATGTGTGTAGCATGGAAGTTAAAATAATATAATTTTTTTTTGGTTAAATGACCTAAAAACAATTAAAAGCAAACCTGGCCAGTTTGAGTGTCTTTCAGTGAAAAGAGTTGTCAGAAGATTAAGACGACACTAAGCCACTGCTGCCTTCGTGAGGAATCAGCCACGAGACAATTCATTCTCCGGTTCCACTTGTCCTAATGGCCTGTGTTTAATGACGTGAGAGAGGAAACCCTTCCACAAAGCCTTTCTCTAGGTAGATCTTAGTATGCAGGGAACAATATTTCAAAGAAAGAAGAAAAGAAGTGCACGCACATGAATAAAAGTAATAGCCTAGTTGAGTAAATGCCTAAATTAGAACTCTCTCTCGCCATCTTGAAGCTCAACAAATTCTAAGGAAACAACTCCAAGTTTCCTTCTAGAATGAAACTAGGGAGTCCATCAACAAAACTGCAATGCCTTTTATACGAAACAAGATAGTAGGAAGAGGTCTATTTTTAGTTCCTAAGAAATCAGTATTTAGGGGCTGGAAAAATGGCTCAGTGGTTAAGAGCACTGGCTATTCTTGCAGAGGACCTGGGTTCAAACCCCAGCACCCACATGGTGGCTAACTACCATCTATAACTCCAGTTCCAGGGAATCTGACGCCCTCTTCTGACCTTTGTGGGCACTGCATGACACGGGTGCACTTACATGCAAGCAATATACTCATACACATAAAATAAAAATAATAAATTAAAAAAAAAGAAATGAGCATCTAAAGAGACCTCTTTTGAGATAGGCTTTAGCCCAGGAGAACACAGGTCCCATTTCTTGCCACCCTCACACAGGACTACATGCCTAAACTGTCCTTACTTGATCCTTGACATAGCAAGGCTGGCTCTCTGGCTTCATGGTGTCATAGCAGCTTGTGGAGATATGGAAACATGAAGTGAGGTTGTGTGTACCAACAAGACATGATTAGAGAGAAGAATGTTGAGGCCCCAAGATCAGTGTTTCCTCTACATGCTCTGCTGTCTGATGGAACCCAGCACTCTGCTCTTCCCACATAGGACAGGACATCATCACCAACCCAGGCAGAGGGCCCTGAGAATGGGGATACGCTACAGACGACGGCACGGCTCTCTGGCCTTTGTCATCCTGACTTGGCACACTCCATCTAAAACCAGATCCCATAATACAAGGTACATTTGTTTATATGTGAGTTGTAGATCTAAAATCTATACATTTTTGCCTTGGCTGAAGATTTAAGCAGGTGAGTCAAAAGCTCTCAAAACCAACAGACTTGATTCTGATACATTGGAGTTTTTCTTTTGGTTTTTACCTCAACATCCTTTTTCAGTTTTTCCAGGAACACCTTTTTGTTGTTGTCATCGATATAAATCTTTTGGCCTTCATTAATGAAGTCATTATCCTTTAAAGTTGGCAGTTCTTTGGCCTAAAACAAATGAGGAAAAGAGGAAAGAAGCTTGAATAAAACCTGAAAACCATGTACCCTCTCCAATCTCAGAAACCGTATTTCAGGGACCCAAGCAGAGCGGGGTCTCATCCAAGGTAATGAAGTATAAGGTGGCTTGCTTGACACCGCCAGGGGGCACCAGTGAGCTGTGACCCCTGGAAGTGTTTTCTCCAGGAATGGGGGAATAGGCATGTCTCACATCATGACAACATTCTGTGACACATTTCGTGATTCTCAAAGGAATAAATCTGACTGCTTTCCTTGATCCACTTTCTTACAAGAAGTTTTCCAAGTATAGAACTTATACTCTTGGAATGCCTTGTTAGGAACCCTCAATCGTACAAGTCAATGCCACTCTCTGACTGACTCTTGGGTAGTCTAAATTGAGCTTTAGTTTCAAAATAAAATGTTCTCTTGTCTCTCAAGTCCTGCGCATTACTGTAGTGCTCCGTGTCATGGAGACCATGAAGTCAGAAGCTCGCCATCTGTCCTTCCAGCTTTCTGCTCTTCACTACACAAGAAGGAAATTCTGTTCCCACTGGGTAACACCAAAGTAACTTCTTAACATAGAGTATATTAAGATGAGAAGATTTACCCTTTACAAATAGCCAAGAGTCTGAGCAGGCACATCAACTGCACTTCTACCCACCAATACAGAAGCACTAGGTAACTGGCAAAATGGGTTACGGCAGAAAACAATCTATAGCTTGTGCTGTGGCAAATGGAATACAGGCAGCTGGTTTTAGGCCAGATTGTACTTTGTGCAGTCTGTACTCTGGGAGAGTTCAAAAGCCAACAACCACCCTCTCCCAATTCCTTTCTGCTAATCATGGCTTATTTCTTTCACTTGCATGGAATCCAATGCAATAAACTGCCCTTTTGAGCACAATAGTAAATCTCGAATGGTCCTTCTTCCATTAAGGACCTTCCTGGCTCAGACACTGCTTCCAGCTAAAGAAAACCCACTGGGTGTGTCTACTGTGCTGTCTTTCAAATGCTTGAACTGTACACTTTCCCCCATCACCTCATCAAGTGCACACGTGTTTAGATACAGTCACATTGACTAATAGATACAAACACATGTGAGTATATTACACATTTCTAAATCATTAGCTTTAGCTATTAATTTTGTTTAACTTTGAAAAAATTTCAGCTGCCACGCAACTCTGAAACTACTGTCAATAAGTGTCAACAAAGGAGACACTTAAATCTCAGAAATTCAAGTGTTCAATTCAACAGGCAGTTTCTGAATTATTGTCACAGACAGGGATGCTGATACAGACAGGTAAAAACCTCTATTGTAAAGGAGTTTGTCTTCCTGTATGGGAGATGAGCGTGGTAGCTAGTGGGCAGAAAGGAAGGCATCTAAGACATCCGGATGGTCAAATTCTAGAGGGAGACAGTTTTCATACACTTTTATGGTTTGTTAGAGCCCACTTTCTTGGGGCAGGGGGAGTTATAGGCTGAAGTAGGAGGGTTATGAAGAGGAGAGGTGCAAAACAAAGTAAGTCGTACCCAAGGGCACGGGCATGGGTTTCTCAAAGCAGAGCCGCAGAGATGGGAGAGACCCAAGTGTGGGGTGTGTTCCTCAAAGGAGTCACCCAGGGTTCACTTATATGCTGAGATAGTCTTGAGAAGTAAAAATGGAGTGCTGTTCCTCACAAAAAATGGGGCTTAGAGATGAACTCCCTGTCTGTCATTAGCATATTAAAAATGTAATAAATGTTAAAGAGTAAAAATCTTCCTTCAGAGACAGCACATTAATGTTAAAGTCACTTCAAGTGGACTGAGAAATGTAAATGTGATTGTGTGTGTGATAGGAATGCATGTGTGAGTGTGAGTACACACACGTGTGTACATATGTCTATGGAGGCCAGAGACTGATCAGGTGTCTTCCTCTATTGCTTTCCATTGTAGTTTCTGAGCCACAGTCTCTTCCCTGAACCTGGAGATCATGGATTGGCTAGACTGGCTGTTCATCGAGTTCTGGCATCCTCCTGCCAGCCCGCCATCCCCCACCAAAGGGTTACAGAGACACACCACTGTGCCTAGCTTTTACAGGGGTATTAGGGATCTGAACTCAGGTCCTCATGCTTGCGTGACACTTTACCCACGGAACTACCCCAGCCCCAAATGATGGCGTTTTGAGGTGGAGGTGAAACACAAACCCTAACGTCTAACAAACCTTATTTGGCAGACAGCAAGAAGAAAAGTGCTGCCGCAATGCAAAATGAGGGCCGCCTGAGGACAGAGGGTGTGGTCAGACCTCCACAAGAAACACAGGCGCTGAGTAGGATGGAGATCTTCCAAACAGACACTTTGAATGCTTTTGTGTAATTATGTTTTGGGGTTGGGATGTGTGGGGCTAGGGCTATTAGGGATTAAGATATCCACTTTGATTTTACAACTCATTTATATATGTAAGAAATAACTGGAGAGGGTTTTGTTTTGTTTTGTTTTTGAGTGAACTTGAGAAATCTGAGGACGGAGATGATGGACCACAGACAAGGCAATAAATTACACATTACAGGTGCGTTTGCAACACAAGTCACATTAATGAAGATGAATGTCATTTCAGGCTCACTCCAGCAGAATTACCTCATGTGACAGGGAAAGTCTAATCCTACCTCATAAAACTCTGGCCACCCTGCACTGTACTACTAAGCTTACTTATGAATTTCACAGGCACTAGGGATGTATTTAGACTGGATCAGGTTCAAAAAAGGGCAACAAGATTGGTTAAAAGACTTAAGGGCTTATTGGAAGGATCAAGAGGCAAAAGCTAGTCCTCAGCAGGGCAGCTGTGAGACGAGTCCAAGGCTGGTGGGCGAATGCCTCCCTTCCAGATGCTCTTCCAAGCCTGTGCTGAGGAACGTTAGAGTTTTGGAGCCATGAATCCCCAGGCTCCAATTCCGGGTCTACCTCTGCCTTGCTAGGGACCCTGTTTCTGGAGCTCTTCAAGCTGTTTCTTAGTGTGCAGAGTGAGAACACCACCTGCTGTGGCAGCTGTAGGTACTGGGCTAAGCACTGTATATGCAGCTTCTTGGTCGCATACATCATCACACTTTGCAACAACTTTAGGCATCATTCTCATCTGTGTTTTACAGACAAGGGAACTAAGATTATACAAGTTAATGAAGGTGTTGAAGCTTGGAAACTGATTACCTGAGGTGGGAACCCAGGCAGCCTGACTTTTACTTATTCTGCCAGGGGAATTTGTATGACACATGATCACCACCACCACAGGAATCTGTATGACACATGATCACCACCACCACAGGAATTTGTAGGGCACATGATCATCACCACCATGGGAATTTGAATGACACATGATTACTATCACCAGGGGAATTTGTATGACACATTTAGACAGTGAGTCCTACTTGTTATCATTATCACTACTATGATCACCACCACCCTCACTACTATCTCACCATTACCATCATTACCACCACCACCATTACTACAACCACCACCATCACCACAATCCATCTCTACCACCATCACACCACCACTACCACCACCATCATCACCACCACCATTACCATAACCACCATCACCACCACCACAACCACCATCACCACCTGAATCACCACTACCACCACCATCATCACCACCACCATTACCACAACCATCACCACCTGAATCACCACCACCACCACCACCACTACCACCACCACCACCACAACCACCATCCACCTCTACCACCATTATCATTACCATCATCATCACCACTACCATCATCACCACCTCTATCACTATTGCCATCACCACTACCATCACCACCACCATCATGACCACCACATGAATCACCACTACCATCCATACCATCACCACTACCTCCATCACTACCACCATCACCACCATCATCACAACCACCACATGAATCACCACTACCATCCCTACCATCACCATCACCTCCATTACTACCACTATCACCACCATCATCATGACCATCACATGAATCACCACTACCTTCCCTACCATCACCATCACCACCTCCATCACTACCACTATCACCATCACCACCTGAATCCCCAGCACCATTACCATCACCACCACCATCACTAGCACCACCACCACCACCACCACCACCACCATTACCATCATCACCATCACACCTCCATCACTACTACCATTACCATCACTACTTGAATCCCCACAATTACCACTATTACCATTACCGCAATGACCACCACCACTAGCACCACCACCACCATAATCATCATTACCACCACTGATGTGAACATTCAACAGACTGTATGAATTTGAAACTAGTACTCCATATTGGGAAACTGCACACAAAATATTTTCTTGAAACCCTCCTCTTCTCAGAATTAGATAACCAAGATTATATTACTGATAATGATACACTTGAGAAAATCTTATTCTTAGCTTTCAGAAACAATTTTCAGTAAGTAACTCTGAAAATGAAAAGCATTTATCTTTGAAACTCCATTTAAAAATATTTTATTTACTATATTTATTTTATGTGTATGAGTGTATTGCCTGCATGTATGTGAGTGCACCTGTGTCGTGCAATGCCGTGGAGGTCAGAAGAGGGCTTTGGATTGCCCTGGAACTGGAGTCAAGGAAGGTTTGTAGCCGCCATGTGGATGCTAGGAATCAAACCCGAGTCCTCTGCAAGAGCAGTCAGTGCTCTTAACCGCTGAGTCATCTCTCCAGCCCTGAAACTTGATTTCTTAAAGTAAGGAAAACTACCACTATACGAGTTAATGAATCTAATAAACTCTTGACCTAAAACTACCCAGTGAGGTGATGTCAACTAGCAGCACGTTAACCATGGCACAGAGATCTCAATGAAGCAAGGGATTTTACCCTTTCTTTGAGAGCCTGGCTTGCTTATAACCAGGAGAGCTGCCCAAGCTTGCTGTTCCTGAAGTCTGGCTCATTACTGTGTTTTAGTTTGGAAACAGGTAGGAGGCAGACTGAAGCCAGCCTGGAGATGTTTCTTTACT